AAAAAGAATATATATATATATATATATATATTAATTTAATGAATATTTTAAATTTTATGTAATATTTTCCCTTTTATATAAACCAAATTTTCTATTTTTATATTATCTAATACTCCAAAGAAACAAAGATGCATATTAACAAATTTATCAAATATATTTAGCTTTCATCATGGGTTATATGCGAATGAATTTATTATGATCACAAATTCACAATGCTAGTTGCCAGCAGGTTTGTTCTAAACTCTTTCATTGTGTTTTTTTTTTTTTTTTTGTCGTTGATATTTGTTGTTTTGTTTCTTATTGTCAAGCGGCAAAATCCCTCATAGGGGTTGGATATAACAGAAAGGAGTAGTCTAAGACAGTGTGAAAAATTAATATTAAATTCCCATTTAATAATTGATTGTACTTCAAATAGAATTATCTCGGAAAAAAGTATTCTTCAGTTGAAGTTGGAAAATAAAAATTCATTATTCACGTTTAAGGTGTAAAGGGAATTTAATTAACGACCTCGTCCCCCCTTCTGACCCTTTCATCTAAATTTATTGCAGATATATAGGACAATTAATTAAATACGTCACTGCATATATAAAGAAACATTTCAGACATAACTTTCTTCGCCTACGAACAGACCAAGAAAAGCCCATCTTATATTCTCCTGTCATTGTTTATGTCGTCCCTCTTGTCCATGCACCTAGAATTGAATTAGTCTTAATTTTTTTTAACTTATAGTAGTGGTACGTGAGTTATTTTTAACTTAAGAAATAAACGGATTTTTTTCTTCTCATTTTCTTAAATATTTATAAAGATGCAATTTTGTAGTTGACATTGTGAATGTAATAAAGTCACTTTTGTGGCATGAAAAAGTCAAAGAAACATAAATAAAGAAAAAAAACTCAATTCATAATGCACATTAATTTCCTATATTAATATTTTTTTCTACCATTAAATTTTTTTTTTATAAAAAAGAGAGACAAAGAGAAGAAATCTTCAATTAATATTTTAATTTTATTTATGGACAAAACTTAATTAAAAGTCTTGAAGTGAAATTCACCTTATTCTTCAAAGATTTTATCTTAATAATATATGTCAATGTATATTAATGAGATATGCATTAAATGGAAATATATGTTTTTATTTTGATTAAAGAACAGTACTTAAAAAATTATACCTAAATTTCAGGTACAATTGATGTTATTTTTCAATTAGAACAAGAGATTTATTTTGGTAATATTCATTTGTATTAATATAGACTTCATTAATATATATATATATATATATATATATATATATATATATATGATATAAATCTTCAATTATTATTTGAAAATAATTAATACTGATCATACTTAAGAAATTGTACTTAAATTTTAGGTATAGTTTCTTAAGTACAAAGTACAACCGGTGTTATTTTCTAATCAAAATTAGAGATTTATTTTGATAATATATATTTGTGTTAATGCAAATATTATTAATATACATTTACATATTATCAATATATAAATCCTCAATTTTGATTGAAAAATAACACCAACCATACTTAAGAAAATGTTACTAAAATTTATATTTATTTGTATAAGGTGAATAACTTTTGAATTTAACCTATATAATACAAGCATTTTCCATCGGTCTAAACATTCAATTTTTCTAAAATTAAAAGAAAACTCACATAATATAATTTCATGTCTTCTATTTTTCTCCTTATATATATTTAGAGAGAAGATGTAATGTATTTTACATTTCGAATGATTTTTGTCTTATGATTACGAAATTTTCCCCCTAAATATTACATTAATTTTATTTTTCTTTAACTTTTTTTATTTTTCAATTCTATTTTAGTTTCATATTTTATTTTAATAATTTTGATACCTAACGCGCGCGCCCCACACACACACACACATATATATATATATTATTATTTATAAAGACTACATTTATTCTTTATTAGAAGTATTCTTACTTGACTTGAGTGTGACAGATTTTTTTTTAAGTATTTAGTATAATTATCTAACACTCAAATTTAAGATAATTATTAAATTAAAATAATTTTATATCAATTAATTCACATATACATGACAATCTCTTTTACAAGTACAACATATGAGATTTTTGAGGTCATTCATGTGCTACTCCTACCTAAATTATACAGTTTTGATGAAATTTAGTGCATTAATGTTAGTAGCACTTACATTTACTTACTCATATTTAATAACTATACTTCATATTAAAATGAATTTGATTGATAAAATATCAGTTAATTACCAAATTACGTAAAATTAAATCACAATCTTAATCTATTTAATGCGTTACACTCTCGGTCTAACAATTGAATCGAGAATTTAAATATTCATAAAATAAAATATCGAGTAGAGCGAATATTAAACAATGTTTGTTCCTAAAAATAAGTAACTAGAAGTAATAACTTAATATAATTACAAAACAATTGTCCTGGAATAGTATTATTTAATTTGGCTTAATTTGCAATCAGTTGTGTGTGTGTTAGCTTTGGATTGTAGAAAGCCAGTAAAAGTGCTACGTCGCAATTTGAAAGGTAACAAATTGGAACGAAATCTACTGCCTCAAATAAAAAAGAATTAGATTATAGAAGTTACAAATTTCCCTGAATTACTCTTGAGAAATGTTATGCAATATGCTTTAACTATTGCACGAATAATATGCATCCCTAAAAAACAATTTACATGAAATTAATAATACGTAATGATTAAATAATACATATAGAACTTAATTATTATACTCAGAGTAATAATCAAATACGGCAATATTTACATTCATATCTTATAATCAATCAGATCCCTGATACTTTCAAACAAACAAAAAATAATATAGTATATTTTATTTCTGAAGATGATAACCTGACAGCATTTGAGGGCTTCCAGTACAACAAAGATAATCTATCAACATGATTTTAATTTTTTGCTCAATTGGGGGACCGCTAAAGTCTAGAAAAGAGAGATAGAAACAACTCACAACTCGCTAAATACAATTAAAGGACTAAAATGGTAACTGGTTTTGTTAGTCCGAAAATGTTAATATTTAAGGCTAAAGTTGATTAAGAATAAGAGAATATATATATATATATATATATATAAGATTTTTAAAGAATTTAAATTTTATAAGTTTATTTATCTAAATTCTTTATAGATATTTTACAGATAAGGGCTTTGGAGCTAGAGATTCATTTTGATTCCACTAAGAGTTTCCATATCTTATCTTGAAATGGAGATCAAGTAGTAAAATAAAGATTCAAGTTGAGGAGATGAGAATCATAGAAAGAAGTTGTTTTCAGAGGGTTTTAAGGTTCTTTGTTTTTTTCTCTATTTCTCTGTTCTTGAAGCAATTGAAGTTAGAAAAATTTGTAATTTCATCATATCTTGTGTTGTTGATTGTGTTGTTGATGATGGATTCTAAGTTGCCTTGCCCATTGGGGGCAATTTGTGTTGAATTTTGATGATTTTGTTCTTGGTGTTATGGTTTTAAGTTGATAAGAGTTAAAAATGATTTTATGTTGATCTTATGTTGGATGCATTTTTTCATTTTAGTTTTCGAGATGTATGAATATTGGATAACTTGTTTCTTAAGTTGCATGCGAGATTGGAAGAGTATGGTTTTTGGATCTGAGGGGAGAAGGCACTATCATACAACAAT